TACAAGTACTTATATGGCAGGTAGTTCAGACTATAAAAGTACTTATATAATATGTAACAACCCGTCCCGGAATTTACGTAAGAAAATGGGTATTTTTGTATTTTCACTAAGTTTGGGGGATACTTTCCATTTTAAAAATTGTTTTTGAGCCTTAATTGGTGAGCCCAAGGGGCCCACCCCCTGTTTTTGTCCCCCGGTTCCTTCCCTTTCCCTTTTCTTTTCTTTTTTTTCTGAAAAGTCTTCTCCTCTCTTCTCTCTTTCTTCCTCCGTGCTCTCTCTTTCCCCCTCCTCTCGGTGCTCTTTTCTCCGAGCAGAACACACCCACACACACACACACACACACCCATGCCCACACCTATAGCTCTTTTCGAACCCCATGGTTGTGTTTTGGACGTCAAATCACGAAGAAACCACCTCGGAGACATTTCCCAGTTTTCCGGCGAGCACCGTCCCTTTCGAGGCGATTTCCGGCCAAACCACGGCGAGTTGGCCGGCGTGCGAGGTATCAATCTCTTCGTCTCGCTGAGTACTACAACTTTCCTTTTTGTTTCACCTAATTTCATTGAGTATTGAAGAAGTTATGCTCATTTGAATCTTACCCAGTTTCCGGCGGACACCGGTGGCTTCCAAGCTGTTTTCCGGCCAACTCCGGCCACAATGACGGGAACCAAGGGTATATTTCGATTCCTTACCTTCGGGGCTTCAATTTGGTATATTGAATGACATGTTTTGGTTGAGTTTTGAGCTCCAACGGAGCTTGGGAATTCTCCGGCCGAAATCCGGCCTTCTCCCTCATTGGACTCCGGCGAACACCCAAGGCCTTTGGGCCTTTTCTGCCAAGCCCAAAACCTGGGCAGCCCAACCCAACACCCTTTGTAATTAGGCCTTTGGGCCGTTTGAGTCAACGGTCAAAGTTGACTTTGACCTCGGGTTGACTTTTTCGGTTTTCGTGCGGGACCCCCCTAGGCTAACTTCGACGTCCTGAACCCGTTTCTGATGTCTGTTTTCCCAAATTCAATCGTTTGAGTAGAGTTTGACTAAATGTACCATTTATGTGCTTAGGGGCAATTATCGATGGCGTTTCCTTCTTCGCTAGATGACGTGGCTTTTCGACGGCGAAGTACTGTGAGTGGACCCCTTCTAAAAATGCATGTTTTGATAGTAGAAAAGCATACATGAAAAGCATGATTTGATGATTATGTTTTATGAAACGTTTTACGAGATAACATGCTTACTGAGGCTAGTTTGAATTATTACTATTTTTCCTATAACCCATGTTCTTATAGAATATCTGATGGATGACGATATGATATTTAGAACATGTTTAGAACACCTCTTTATAGTATAGATGATGGATGACTTTATACTATGAAGTTGATTTTCAATATATGTATGTTCACTGGTTTTGTACTTACCTAGTGGTCCTTTCCGCTACGGGACGTAGGGATAGATCCGGTCGGTCCCGGGCGACGGTTTGGTGTTGGCATAGGGCCTGGAGTGTGTTTTCCTCTGACTGTCTGCTTAGAGACGGGGAGCCGGCACGGGGCCTGAAGTGTATTTTCCTCTGACTGTGTGCTCAGAGACGGGGAGCCGGCATGGGGCCTGAAGTGTTATATCGGACATTCACTAGTGTTTATTATTTATGCGAATTATGATTTGAGATATTGCACAACATGCTAGGTTTCGGAAAACCTATGTTTATCATTATATATAAGTGTTTTCATAAAACCTGGGGGTTAGTATGTTGATAAATGCTTTATTATATATATATCAACTTGGTCCACTCATGTTTGTTTTGCGCCCCCTTCAGGACTTAGAATCGAGGCATACAATCCCGACGTCCAGGCACATTCGCATCGGCATCTTCGAGTCCTCTTGGTGTAGGACCCACTCCTTGGTTTCATTCAATTTTATATTATTTTCTTTTAGTGTTCTAGATTAGTGGTGTGCTCTGAACACGGTCCTTATTTGCATATTCATTATTCTTTTATATTTTTAAGCCTTATTTATCCTTTGTTTTCAGCATTTGCATTCAATAAATGGCTTTCGTCACCTTCGGGTGTCGGCCAGCACGTGCCTATCCTGGTATTCGGGGAATATCGGGGTCGGGGCGTGTCATAATAGGTAGTTCAGATTATAAAAGATCAGTTGAAATCTAAGTTTATGCCGACTAATATTATAATATGATAGGTAGTTTAGCTTGTACAAGTACTTATATGACATGTAGTTTAGACTGTAAAAGTACTTACATGATAGGTAGTTTAAAAGGTAAAAGATCAGCTAAAATCTGGGTTTATACCAACTAATAGGGTACCTGAATTGAAAAAAAAAATAGAAAAATAATATAACTAATAGCGAGGCCCCCAAGAGATTTATAGGTGTCCAAAATTTTGGAAATGCCCTAAATTAATTTTAGGAAATATGTGGTGCGAATAGAATGACTCTAACTTTGGCTTATAGCACACATTTTTTTGTGAAAAAAAATTGAAATTTTTAGCTTTAAGAAATATTTTGGATTGGAGTTAAGGAAAATATTGCAAAACCGTTGGATGTGATCCTACCAATTATTAGGTCTTGAAACTATTTTTAATTGATTCTTAAAGTGAGAAAATAGAAAAATATCTTTAAATTTAGGTTTTAAATCATTGATTACAAGTCTTTAAAAATGAATTATAATATATTTTGCACGGAAAAAATATATTTTGAAAAACATGAATATGATAGTTTGTTGTCATGGTAAGAGAAATAAAAGAAACTTTAACAAAATAAAAAATAAAAATAAAAAACTGAAAAAAAAAATTGAAAAGGGAGGGATCGGTAATAGCATAGCGACGTTTTCTTCTATCCGTCGCTATCTTTTTAGCGATTATTCCCAAGAAGTATAGCTCGCAAAGTACCGATCGTATCATTTTCTATGTTTTTTTTCTTTTTCCATTGAATAGCTATAGTAGAGTAAAATAGTAATCACAATGCAAAATATCAACCTAACAACAAAAAGTGCTGACACTTGGAGTCCTATTCATGAACCTAAATAAAAAAATAAAATAAAATAAAAACTAAAAATTGGACTAATCTAATTGTTAGGCCATAAAATTGAGAAATGGATCCTGCATTGTGATTCCCATCGTGTCATGGAAGTTATGGGTTAGATATCCAAACCCAGACATGCTGCAAACTTCGATAGAAAGAGGGAAAGAAGAGGTAGAAATCTCTTGGAATATTATTTTATCCCCAACTGTGTATTCCCTGATCATGTTTTTAGACGTCGTTTCCATGATCAATACTTTGTGCAAAAAAAGGATGTTTTTCATGTTCTAGGTCTTCTTTCTAAGCAAAAAAATTATTGTTGCCTTGCGAATGCTTGCATATGGAACATCTACAGATCAAGTGAATGAGATAACGAGGATGGAAAAATCAACTCTTCTGGAGTACCTCATGCGATTTTCCTCTGCAATCGAAGCCCTTTATACCACTGACTACATCCGGAAACCTACGCTAAGGGACCTGCAAAGGCTGCTGAGGAAGGGTGAGATGCGATGCTTCCCTAGCATGATTGGAAGCATCGACTGCATGCACTGGACCTGGAAAAACTGTCCAAGTGCATGGCAAGGAGCGTATGGCGACAAAAAATGAGCCAAAAGTATCATTTTGGATGCGGTGGCTTCATTTGATACATGGATTTGGCATGCATTTCTTTGGAGTTCCAGGAGCTCAAAATGACCTAAATGTCCTTGCCTAATCTCTAGTCTTCCACGAAATGCTGCAAGGCAAATCACCCAGAGTCACATACTCAGTCAATGGCCATACATACGAAGGGCCGTACTACCTTGCACATGACATTTACCCAAGGTGGACAACTTTTGTCAAAACAGTCTCACATCCACAAAGTGAAAAAGAAAAACACTTTGCAAAATGTCAAGAAGGGTGTAGGAAGGATATGGATCGTTGTTTTGATATCCTGCGAGCTCGTTGGGCGATTGTCAGGTCAACAGCCAAAATGTTTGATGTCGAGGCTCTTTGATCCATCATGATGACGTGTATCATTCTCCACAACACGATTGTGGAAGATGAGTATGTTTATGATGTCGTCGATGAATACGAGCTAGACACAATGAATAACTCAAGAACACGTATCTATTGTGCTCATGATGCCACCGAAGATTCTGTGCAACACGAGCCATTAGAACGGGATGGATGTTACAATCAATTGATCGTTGAGCGGTACACTTCAATGTAAGAGCCATACTGGCACTATACCCGTCAAACTAACTTGATTGAGCACCTGTGGGGATTGCAACAAGGTCAAGATAATTAAAAGGAGTTTGTGGTGGAAGAATAAAGTTCTTAGCTTATTTAGTGTAATTTTTTTAAGTTTATTTAGTGAGTTTATGTAATTTTATGCGGTGTGTTTTGTTAATAAGTTTATTTGGTTAGTTTATGTATTTTTTTTTTCGTGTGTTTTTTTTTTAAGTTTATTTGCTGTGTTTAAATAAAGTACTACAATATTTAAGAAATTACATCTATTACTAAAAATAAATAAAAAATTACATAATGTACTACAAATAAATAAAAAATTACATAGAGTACTAAAAATAAATAAAAAGTTACATAAAGTCCTAAAAAAAAGACAAAATTATATAAAGTACTAAAAATTAAAACGAAATTAAATAAAGTACTACAAATAAATACGAAATTATACAAAGTATGTGGAGCTAGGATATGTGCTACTAGGATCTTTGTTGTTATGATCTGTGGAGCTATGATACGTGGAGCTAGGATCAGTGTAGCTAGAACCCCTTCGAGTTGTTTCTGTGTCTCTTGCACACCTTCTTTGCACCACGTCTCTTTTTTTCCGATGTCCAAAAATATTTTGAATTATGAGACAGTTTTACAAGAGGCTTATTCATAGTGTCACGATCTGCTTGAGCCATTCTTTCTTCTCTAAGCATCTCGTTTTCTCGATTAAGTGATTCTCTAATCATCTCATTTTCTCGATTAACTATTTCTCTTTGTCTCTCAGCCTCTGCATCACGTCTCTCAGTAGCTGCTAATATTGCTGCAATAGCAGCAACTTTTTCCTCATCTCTAGCCGCTTCCCGCGCCATGTTCAGTTCACCTTAGTGCACAAGTTCGTCCATGTATTTTGTGTAGTCATTTTTGGAAGAACTCTTTTTTTTCTTTGCCGTCTTCTTACCTTGAGGCCTTAGGGACCGACGAGTCGCCTAGGTCTCCAGCACTTCTTCGGGCGTCTCTTTCGGCACCTCTTCAAATATGTCTTCTTCCTGTGCGGTCGTGTCTTGTTCTGGCAAACTGTGTAGAGAGACGCCGTGTATAACAACTTCTGGACCTGTTGGCACAATTCTGTATCTGGGACAATTTTTTACAACTTCCCAACATTCTCATCGCCGAATGATTTGTTGTGATTCTTCACATTGTAAAATGTTTGTGCTTGTAGTGCCTATAAAATGTGGGATAAGACAACATTATAAAACTCAGGTGTAACACAAATAAATAAATTAAAATATTGATGCAGGTGGGATACATATAAATAAATAAAAATATTATCATCTGATCTGCTAAACTCCTCCCACTACTCAGATTAATGGAAGCTTGAGATAGAGCGCTTTTCCAACAAATAAAGGATATGTTGAGTTTTTTCCAACGACCTTGAAGACCTTGACTACTTCTGGCGCATTTTACAAGCCTAACGCAAAACACTTCTGTAATACTACTCCACATTTCTCACAACTCCATCTCATTACCCGTAATTGGGTCATGAGTAACTTGAACCCAGCATTGACACAACGTAACATCTTTGATGGTCTTTCACGTAGCCATTTTTTTCACACAAAAGGTATATGAAAGCTTTGGTAGAAAGTTTTGAAAATATTGAAATGTGGTGTAAGGTTGAAGATGATGGTTAGGTATTTATAAGAAAAAATAAATTTTTTTTTAAAAAAAAAATCTATATTTTTTCTGTATTTTTAACAATTTTAAAAAAAAAATTATTAATTTTTTATTAAGTAAATTAATTTGAACCGTTGGATTTGAAAAAGGTTCAAATCCAACAGCCTATAAGTATGACATGTGGCCAACGGTCATAATTCTAACTGTTGGAGTTTTTTTTTTTTTTTTTAGCCTGAAAATCATGGACCGTTGATATTTGGATTGAATGGCCCAGAACACGCCACATCATCTAGCCGTTTGATTTCAAATTCAAAATTTTTTGATCGTTGGAAATCCACCAGTCCATGACTGGCCACGTGGCCTTCTCATCAGACAGGTGAGTGCACCTGCACATGTGGGCCCCGTCTCTGTTTTCTTGTCGGCGACGGACACCTAGTTGCACGTGCTTCCCACGCACCTGGCACAAAAAAAAATTAAAATGGCCCGTTAAGTCATGCTAGCGTCAACATGACGTCACATAGACCGGGTCTTGGCTTAGCACGTTCTAGACCGGCCTATGGGCTGTTAGCCGACCTATAGGTATGGGCTGGAGGGGATTGATTGGGTGCCGGGCCATTTTGGCTGCTGGGTGCCAGCCTAATCCATCCCAGTGGACTTGCTCTTAGGCTTTGACAAAAAAAATAAAAAAATAAAAATTACGAACTTTCTATGGGCTTCGCTTTGAGGACTTATATGGTGACAAACCGATATGGTAGCATCTTGTATCAATAAAATAAATATGTGTAAGGTTTTATTTACATATTCTTGTTTCTGTGACACAGGATGTCATGTGACGATGTATTCATACCATGTAAGTTGGCCTCCTGCACATAACTCAAAAGAGCAACGTAGATGATGATATCGTAATCAAATATTAATGTCATCTTAACAACGTTACATTGACGTACTAATACCAAGTATCGACTCATATCAAGAAATTTCTATTGAGTATCAATGTCGTTATCGTGGCATGGATATTCAATTGGGATATAGAAAGATCCAAAAGAAGCAGTCTATAGAAAGACTCTCTTCCTTGTATTGTAAGTTCTAATAAACACACGAGACCTGATATAGCAGCTAGATAAGGCCTCAACTCATTAAATACCTAGCTCCAGAGGAGTGTCACATTTTCTGACGAAGGCAACAGCAGATATGAATTACCTTTGAAGAATTAGAAAGTTAGTGTGACACAGATCAACTTACCACGAATAACATAAATAAAAAAATACAGAAGAAGAAAGTTTCATTGGGAAATTTGAGCTCGTTTCGGGTTTTCGATTACCTTTGAAGAAATGCACCAGAAAAATTGTGGAATAGATTGTAACTTTGAGTACCAAGTTGTTGATTGCAAACAAGGAAGACAAAGGATACCAAGCAATAGACATCAAGCACCCAACGACAAAAGAGTTTATGTGGTTCAGTCTCTATTTACGACCAAAAATTAGGCGAACTGGGATGTGCACTCGCTGTAGAGAAAGTATAACTTCACAGCATGAACAAACTGATGCAAATATAATGAATCCGGCATCCACATTGTCCGTGACATAAGTAATGAGGTTACAGTGTTCCATCCTTCACATGCAGAAATGACTTGATTCTAGTCCCTGACGAACACAATTTACAGCCACACCGGATTCATTCTTTTTTAAGCTAAGGCGAGTGCTAAGAAAACAGCGCAGGGGATTCATAACAACACAATGACACTTATCTAGGTTACGGCCACTGAAAAAGTCTAGCTACTAGAGGGCAATTACTAACAGACGAAACTAAACTACAGACTAAACTGAATCCCATAAGAAGCAAGTAAATGTGTGTTTTCTATCAAAACCAATTTTGAGACCAACCAAATTTAAGAACCAACAACACACCTCGGACTGCAGGTCAACCCCTTCGGATATGATGGTATATATAACTACAGCAACTAGTTAGTAGAGTAGAAGATGAACAAATGTTATTTCTCTTTGATCGTGACTAACAACCGAGCATAAGTAAACCAATACCAAAAAGTTGGCTTTTACCTCTCCTGACCAGCCAATGTCATACATCCTGGATTTCAACTTTCCCCCGATACACACTAAGTAATCCAGGTACTTCATCTATATATCTGGCCACAAACCTCTCCAAGAAGCCTTTCTCCGTATAGCTCATCAGAGAACACAAACTCACATTTTCGATTTCCTTTATCAATCCTTTCAACAACAAAACCTTAACAACCGAACACCTCGGGATAATTCTCTTCTCCAAACTGTAACTCACAATAGTCGGACATTTGACAATTGATCTTTGCGGCCATCCCATCTTGTTCACTAAAAAATCCATAACCTGCATTATTTTCTTCTCCGACTTAGTCATACAACGCGGGAACCGCTTGAAAGTAGAGAGAACATCATCCTCTGACCAACCCCACCTCTTGTAAGCTTCACAATTACGACTCCATATGGACTTACTATTACCACTAGATAATGCTTTTATTGCTGCAACAGACCTTGATTTTTCCATATCAAATCCCATTTGCTTAACCTCATCCATAACTTTAGCAAAATTCTCAGGCTTTTGTGTTAAAGTTCTAGGAAAATAAGCCAGCAACAAAGAAATACATGATTGGGGCATACCGAATTCTCTCAAAATCTCAATATTTGGCGCCACATTCTTTGAATGGCCTTCCGAGAAAATCCGCAGGCCGCCGTTCTTCAATAAAACAACGAAGTTCTTCTCAGAAAGCAGGTTCCTAAGGAAATGGCAAGTTGGTAGAATCCGTTTCTCCAAGCTTGTGACCAAAAGAAGCGTTTCATATGCCAGAGTTTTTGCAAGGTCCTCCCTTGAAACTCCAAGAGAAACGAAAAACTCAATCTTTGGCAAAAGGGTTTTCTCCGGATTACAACTGAGAAGTCCTGGGCAAGACCTGACAATCTTGGAGATATTGGTTGCAGAGACTCCATGGCTTCTGAGAAAGGACAAAACGGAGTCTGCTCTTTCGGGGGATCGCAACTTGACCCGCTTAGAAGCTGAAATTGCACCTTGTGGAGACAACCCACATGAATTTATGAGGTAATTGACTGTGAAATCGTGGTGGTTTTTTGAGATTTCTGAGGTGAAACGTCTGCAAAGTATCTCGTTTTGAAGAGTAAAATGTGAGGGTTTTACATCTCCAACAACAAATCTTGTAGTTTTGGAAAATAGTGAATACCCCAATCTGCCGGCCTCCAGGTTGCAGAGGGCTGCCATGTTAGACGGCGCCGGCACTGACCAATTTCAGGTGGAAAATCCAAAACTTCGGGGGCTCTGTAGAAATTTATTGGCAAACTTTTGGGCTTGGGTTGGGAGAGCTTTAATTCGTCTGCTAAATATTAAATTTTGGGCTTTAGCAGCACTATTGTAGTCTATGACCAACTCTAATGTCTGAATTCAACCACAAGTGGGTGGTGAGGTATATTGCCCTTATATCACGGTATTTGAATTTTGTTGATTTTTTAATTTAATATATAATTTAACAAATTTAACGTTTGACAAAAAAAAAAAATTTGAAATTCAAACTTACATATTTGTCTACAAAAAAATAAAATTAACCTCTATAAATAGTGGATGTCACTCAACCCTGCATACCTAAATTTCAACACCTAAAATGTATTAATTGTTATGGACTGATTTGAACCTTAATTATTTTTGTAATGATTTTTTTTTTAACTATTTGCAACATCATCACATGATGACATACTCAGTTAACACTAGTGTTTTAATCCTAATTTCATTAAAAGTATGATTATGTAAATTTTAATAGACGATGTGTAATATTTTATAGATAGTTTCGTTGTTGCGGAGCACTGAGTGGAACTCATGCTACAGTAAACGACCCTAGTACATTGCCAATCAGCTCAATCATTTTTCCCCAAAAGAAACCAAACAGTGGCCACAAGCACTGCACTGCTTTTTTGTTAAGACAAGGTCTACTTCCTTACGTTGCCACCCCATCTTCAGTAAATGGTATGTAGCCTGGTAAACGGGTCGTGTTTGTCTTGTTCGTATCGATTTCGTATAACATCTGTTATCTTAACAGATTGTGTCGTGTCACACCCGTTATCTTAACTGATCTTTAACAGGTTGGGTCACTTTACTCGACCTGTTATAACCCATTTAGAAAAATATATTTTTTCTTAAATTTGCACATACCACACATTTCCACATAAATATTACTTCAAAACATTAAAACACATTTGTCATTTAAGTATTACATCTACACTCGAAAATAAGGATCTAATAAACAAACGTTCATACACTACTAGTCTATTATAAAATATTAAATGTGCAAGGATATGCAAAATGAAAAAGTTTTTGTTTTCAAGGTTGTGAAGCCTTTCTCAAAAGTTTAAACCTTGCCAATGGAACTCAAGGCTTGCATGTTATTCCTTTTACAAAATCCTCAACTTTCATTGATCATCACGACATAAGATTTTGTGGTATCCACTAGTGTAAATATTTTAAATTAAAGATCGAATTCATTCATTGTATTCATATATGGTCAAGGAGTGTAGCTGTAAAAAATCATCAAAATTAGAGTTAAAATAATCGTTAAATCGTGATTTTTCGTTCATAACCGTTGAAAAGTTTTGTCCTGTTACTTGATCTTTGAATATTTTTGTTTGCAATTTTTAGCGTATGCGATCTCAATGGATATACAAACATGTTTGACAGTTGGATCGTTGAAACTAATTTCGTAGAATGCGTATTCCATCAAAACAATAAATTCACTAACACTTAAGAATTTATTCATACTTTCATTAAGTATAACATAAGATTTTGTGGTATCCACTAGTGTAAATATTTTAAATTGAAGATCGAGTTCATTCATTGTATTCATTTAGGGTCAAGGAGTGTAACTGTAAAAAAATCATCAAAATCGGAGTTAAAATAACCGTTAAATGGTGATTTTTTGTTGATAACCGTTAAAACGTTTTGTCCCGTTATTTGATCTCTGAATGTTTGTTTTTTGCGATTTTTGGCGTATGCGATTTTGAAGCATATACAAACAAGTTTGATAGTTGGATTATTGAAATTAGTTTTCGTAGCATGCATATCTCATCAAAACGATAGATTCACCAACACTTAGAGTTTATTTATACTTTCATTAAGTATAACATAATATTTTGTGGTATCCAGTAGTGTAAATATTTTAAATTGAAGATGGAATTCATTCATTGTATTTATATAGGATCAATGAGTGTAGCTGTAAAAAAATCATCAAATCGGAGTTAAAATAACCGTTAAATCGTGATTTTTCGTTTATAACCGCTGAAATTTTTTGTCCCATTACTTGATCCTTGAATGTTTGTTTTTTGGAATTTTTGGCATATGCGATATCGAAGTATATACAGACATGTTTGACGGTTGGATCATTGAAACTAATTTCGTAGAATGTGTATCCCATCAAAACGATAGATTCACTAACATTTCAGAGTTTATTTATACTTTCATTAAGTATAACATAAGATTTTATGGTATCCAGTAGTGTAAATATTTTAAATTAAAGATCGAGTTCGTTCATTGTATTCATATAGGGTCAAGGAGTGTAGTCGTAAAAAATCATTAAAATCGAAGTTAAAATAACTGTTAAATCGTGATTTTTTTATCATAATTGTCGAAAATTTTTATCTCGTTACTTGATCTCTGAATGTTTTCTTTTTGCAATTTTTAGCTGATGTGATCTCGAAGCATATACAAACAAGTTTGACGGTTGGATCATTGAAATTAGTTTCGTAAAATTTGTATCCCATCAAGTTCAATGATATGTATATATTTATTAAGTAGATTTAAATTTATTTATTTTGTACGTATAACACTTAAGAAATTGAATGATATGTATATTTAAGCCGATCCAATGGTCACCAATTTTTAATATATATATATATATATATATATATATAATTATTATAGTTTTTAGTGGTATAAAATTGTTAAATTAATATATATAATTATTATAGTATTTTTTTTAGGGTCATAAAATTATAAAATTAATATTTTTCTTATCATGTATCATGTTACACACGTGTATGCCCGAACCAACAAGTTATCTTAACAGATACTTATCGGGTTACCCGATAACGACCTGATTCGTTATTATGTCGACCCAAACACCTGTTAATTTCGTGTCATGTCGTGTCGGGTTGTCGAGTCGTGTCAGAAATTACCAGGCCTAATGGTACTTATGTAAAAGTTAAAAAAAAAAAAAAATAGTGTATGGATAAATTTTGCTAGCATAGGCAGATAGGCTTGTCTTCTTCAACTTTAATTTGCATGATTCTCCTCCACTGGCGGTTCGTGCTACATTGTTTTCGAATTAAGTATCTTGGTATCCAGGTTTGTCATACTTTTTTTTTTCCTAACTTTGTGCTCTTGCTAAGCTTGTTTTTCAAGTTTAGACTTTTAGGTTTGATTTTAGAGGGATTAGGTTTCATTGTCCTTTGTATCATTCTTGTTTTTGCTTTTAGAAGACTATGGTTTATGTCCCCTTTCTTTTTCGTGTATTATTTTTTATTGTCATTGTTTTATAAGGAGTAAGATTTATGTCCCCTAATTAGGTATAATTTTTTTTTCATTATCATTAAAATTTCTCTCATACAGTCAAGTTTTCAAAAACCAAAAAAAACATGTATATATATATATGTGTGTGTGTGTGTGTGTGTGTGTGTGTACATTCTACCGAAGGTAATTCCAAGACGAACAAAGTGAAGGACCATCAATCATATAGATGAAGGCACCACAATCACAGAGAGCAAAGCAGGCCAAATCTCAAGTTAATTTCAAATAAGAGAGTAGATCAATAACGGAAGCAGCTAGACAGTGGAACGGGAAAACAGAAAATGATTATTCATCTTTCTTCATCCATGGCTACCAATTGAATTCATCTCTGGAAAAATATACCGAGCCAAAAGCTAGCTGCTACCAATGAAGCTACGAACATCATACATCCTCAACTTTAACTTTTCCTTGATACACGCTTAATAACTGAGGTACTTCATCTATATATCCGGCCACAAACTTCGCCAAGACGAATTTCTCTGCAGGGAGCATTACAGAATACAAACTCACATTTTCAATCTCCTTTATCAATCCTTTCAACATCAAAACTTAACAACCGAGCATGACACGCCCCGATCCCAATGTCTGGGGGACATCGGGATGGCCACGTGCTGGCTAACATCCAAAGGTTGCGAAGACATGTTAGAATGCATGAGAAATAATAAATATAACAATACTTAGAAATTTCAATACAATGATTATACAATTATGGAACGTGTTCAGAGCATACAACTAATCATAGACACTAAAAAGGAAAAATTGATATAAACAAAGGATGGGTCCTACACTGAGAGGACTCGAAAATACCGATGCGGGAGTGCCTTGACGCCGGGATTGTACACCTCGATTCTAAGTCCTGAGGGGGCGCAATACAAAGTATGAGTAGATCAAGTTGATATATATAAGTAGTATGAACATAAATATTTCACAACGTACCAACCCCTAGAGTTTAAGAAAGCTAGTAGCTTAATACGTGATAAGTTTTCCAAAAACCCTACCATACCATAAAACCTTTCATAAAACATATATCATATAGAGTGTGCTAAATAGTAGTACCAATATCGCCTGAAGTTAGGACATACGCCCGAAGGCAGAACATACGCCCGTAGGCAGGACATCGTCCGTAGGTAGAACATACGCCCATAGGCAGAACATACACTCGTAAGCACATATATCTCAAAACATCTTCATCGTATATAGTCATCCATCATATATACTACAAAGAGTATAAAAACATGTTCATAAATAGTATATAGTCATCAATCATATATACTACAAAGAACATAAATTCAATAAAATATGGTATTCCAAAATATTCTCAGTAAGGCATGGTAATCATAAAGTGTAAATCTAATTTACTTATAAAACGTAACCATTAAATCATGATTTTCATGTAATGCACTTCTACTATTAAAACATGCATTTTAGAAGGGGTCCACTCATAGATACTCCGCTGTCGAAGAGCCACGCAAACTAACAAAGACGGAAACACTACCATAAATGCACCTAAGCACATACAAGTTCCCATTAATAAAACTCTAATAAAATGATTGAATTTGGAAAACGGATGTCGAAAACGGATTCATGATGTCGAATTACACTAAGAAGGGTCCCGGGTAAATTTCGAAAAAGTCAACACAAAGAATATTCCAGAAAATATTCCATCCAGGTCAAACTGGTCCCGTTAACAGAGCCTGGGTTAACTGGGCTGGGTCAAAGGCTGGGTCAGCTGGGCTGGGCCGGGACTTAAAGGGTTTTGGGTTTGAGGCTACTGGGCTGAAGGCCCAAGTTTGTACAGCCCAAGGGCCTGGGTCCAATGGATTTGAGTTTTGGATTAACTGGGCTTTGTGCCTAAGCTTCGAAAAGGGTTTGGATTGCTTAAGATTGAGCTGGGTTAATTGGGCCGACTTCTATGGCCCAATTTTTTGGGCCGGAATAGTGTTCCCAGGTCGGGTTTGACCCTGTTTCAAGTTGGGTCGGCCGAGTTTCCACGAAGAAGGACACTTGAGCTATCCTAGCTCCATTCAAGCCCAAAACTCAACCAAAATAGGTCAAACAAAAAACCAAAATGAAGCCCAAGGAACAAGGAAGAGATTCGTACCAATTTCAAGGCGTGTTGTGAAACCCCACCCCCAAATTGTAATGTATTTACACATTTTTCCTTGAAAGTTTTCAAAATGTGCAATTTGGTCCCCACTTACTTACCTTATTTGGATTCACTTTTTGGATTCTCTACATCTCTTTAACTGCCACGTGGTAGCCCCTAAACTTACATGGCTCTCTATCTTTTTCCTCGATCTCTCTCTCAGTCCTCTATCCCTCTCTCTCACTCTCGTCTCTCTCTCTCTCTAGGACCACTCTCTTTCACTCCATTTCCCAATCGAACCCGTACAACTGAGCCACCATGACGACGGCGTAGCCCCACCACCACCATTTGAACATCGTTTTGTTGTTTCTTGATCGAAGAAAAACGTTTTCTTTGTCTCATTGCATCTTCGATATTGTACCTTTGAATCAAAGGATCAATGTTTGTTTGGTGCGATGGTCAGGGTCAGATCGCCGTTGTCAATTAGATTGAAGTTTGCAACCCGACGTATTACCAAGTTACTGTTCATATGTGTTTTACCAAAAATATTTGTTTTGTTGAAGTTGCTATTTCCAGCTTCTGGTTTTCAGCTTTTTTTCACCTATAACTTTGAAAAAAAACTGACTTAAAGTGTGTACCAAACACTTAAAATGCTCAACTTTTTTCATACCCACTTTTGTTAAAAGTTAAGCTAAAGGCAAACTAGGGCTAAGATCAAGTCAACGGAATTAGATCCACTCAAGACCTTAGTGTCTTTACCCTTTAAACCAAATAGGGTAAACACGGTGCAAACAAAACAGTGTGGATACACTATTGATCATAATAAGATCCTTATGGCCTTGCAAAGTAGGCTAACACAAGAGAATCACAATGCAGAATAGTATTAACCACCCAACCATTGTCACTGAAAATAAGGCTAGCAGAACAGGGACAAAGACACAGACAAAAGTTGATATATCAGACATTGATATCTTACACATCTTAAAATTTGATATATCAGACAAAAGTTTTGTCATTCCTTCGTATCGATAGTAGATTAAATTGAAACCAAAGAAGCAACCTATGTGTACATTCTACCCAAAGGAATTCCAAGATGAACAAGGTCAAGGACCATTGATCATATAGTTGAATGCACCACAATCACAGAGAGCAGAGCAGGTCAAATCTCAAGTTAATTTCAAATAAGAGAGTATCCGTATAACAAAAACAGCTAGACAGTGAAACGGGAAGACGAAAATATGAAGTTCATCTTTCTCCATCCATGACTACCAATTGAGTTCATCTCTAGAAAAATATACTGAGCCAAAAGCTAGCTGCTACCAATGTCAACAAGCAGTGCTGCATCTACGATACTACATCAAGGGAGCTACGAACATCATACATCCTCAACTTTAACTTTTCCTTGATACACTCTCAACAACTGAGGTACTTCATCTATATATCCGGTTACATACTTTGCCAAGAAGAATTTCTCTGCAGGGAGCATTACGGAATACAAACTCACATTTTCAACTTCCTTTATCAATCCGTTCAACATCAAAACTTTAACAACCGAGCACCTTGGGATTATTCGCTCCTCCAAACTGAGACTCACAATGGCTGGGTATTTGGCAATAACTCGTGCCGGCCATCCCATTTTGTTCACTAGAAATTCCATTACCTGCATTATTTTCTTCTCCGACTTGGTCATACAATGTGGGAACCGCTTGAAAGCAGAAAGAACATCGTCCTCTGACCAACCCCACCTCTTATAAGATTCACAATTATGATTCCATACGGACTTACTACACAAAGCTTTTATTGCCATGACAGACGTTGATTTTTCCAGATTAAAGCCCATTTGCTTAACCTCATCCACAACTTTGCCGAAATTCTCAGGATTTCGTATAAGAGAGCTAGGAAAATGAGCTAGCAACAGAGAAATAGATGATTGGGGCACACCTAGTTCTCTCAAAATCCCAATATTCGGCGCCAGATTCTTCGAATGGCCTTCCAAAAAAATCCGCGAGCCGTTCTTCAAAAAAGCAACAAAATTTTTCCCAGAAAGCAGATTCCCAAGGAAAAGGCAAGTGGGTTTTATCCGTTTCTGCAAGCTCACATCCAAAAGAGCAGGAACGGAAGCAAAAGTTTTTGCAAGCTCCTCCCCTGAAATTCCTACAGATATGAAAAACTCAAGCTTTGGCAAAAGGGTTTTTTCCGGATAGCCCATGAGGAGTTGCGGGCGTGACCTGATGAGCTTGGAGATCTGGGTTGCAGAGAATTCATGGCTTCTGAGAAAGGACAGAACAGAGTCTGCTCTTTCCGGGGATCGCAACTTGACCCGCTTGGATGCTGCAATTGCACCTTCTGGAGACAACCCACAAGAGTTTATGAGGTAATTGACTGTGAAATCGTGGTGGGTTTGTGAGATTTCTGAGACCAAGTGTCTGCAGAGTATCAGACTATGAAGAGAAAAATCAAAATCCGAGGATTTCAGATCCCCAACCCCAACAACAAATCTTTTAGTTTTGGGAAATAGAGAATAACCCAATCTGGCGGCCTCCAAGTTGAAGAGGCTTACCATGTTAGATTCCCGGCGATGTCCAATTTCAAGTGGAAAGTCCAAAACCTCGGCCGCGCTTCCGTTCAGAGGCTTTTAGCATTTCCCTCGGGAGAGGCTCTCGCTCTCTCTTTCACCTTTTTTTTTCTCTTGGTTCAATCTGAAGTGCAAAATAATACGAAAATGCTATTTGGGCTGTAGCCTTTTCAAGCTTAAGTGGGAATTAGTGCAATTCTTCGAGGTATGGGATACATTAGGCTTTGACAAAAAAAAAAATTACGAACTTTATATGGGCTTCGCATTGCGGACTTATATGGTGAATCGGTACGGTAGCATCTTGTATCAATAAAATAAATACGTGTAAATTTTTATTTACATATTCTTATTTTTGTGACATGGGATGTCATGTGATTGTGTACATGTAAGTTGGTCTCCTGCATATAAACCGAGAGAGCAACGTAGATGACGATATAATAATTAAATATTAATGTCATCTTAACAATGTTATATTGACGTATTGATACCATGTATCGGCTCGTATCAAGAAATTTCTATTGAGTATCAACGTCGTTACCATGGCATGGACATCCAAATGCCGCCCACGTTAATCTTCTTCGGGTCATGCGCTGCCCATGCACACGATTCGTGTGCGCATGGGCGAAAAACTGAAGCAAGCACAAGGTAAAAATAACCAAAAAAAGGTCCTGCACAACGTAACGAAATTACACTGAAACAGGCCCAAAAGAAGGAGTCTATAGAAAGACTGACATTCTCGTATTGTAAGTTCTGAATCAGAGGAGTGTCACATTTTCTGACGAAGGCAACAACAGATACGAATTACCCTTGAAGAATTAGAATGCGACACAGATCAACTTACCACGAATAATACAAATTATAAATATAAAAGAAGACAAAGAAGAAAGTTTCATTGGACAATTTGAGCTTGCTTTGTGGCTGTTTCAGGTTTTGGATTACCTTTGAAGAATTGCACCAGAAAAATTGTGGAAGAGATTATAACTTTTGAGTACCAAGTTGTTGATTGCAAACAGGGAAGACAAAGGATACCAAGCAATAGACATCAAGCACCCAAGTACAACAGAGTTTATGTGGTTCGGTCTCCATCTAAGACCAACATACACGGCCATAAATTAGGTGAACTGGGATGTGCACTCGTTGTAGAGAAAGTATGACTTCACAGCATGAATAAACTGATGCAAATATAACGAATCCAGCATCACATTGTCCGTGACATAAGTAATGAGCTTCCATAGTGTTCTATCCTTCCCACGCAAAATGACTTGATTACAAATCCCTGGGATCTCTAGTCCCTCAAGAACCAAATTTACAGCCACAACGGATGCAATTTTTTTTGCTAAGGCAAGTGCTAAAAAAACAGCGGAAGTGATTCACAACGACGTCACAGCCACTGAAAAAAGGCTAGCTAAACTAAACTACAGACTAAACTGAATCCCATAAGAAGCAAGTTAAGGTTTACTTTCTATCAAAACCAATTTTGAAGACCAACCAAATTCAAGAACCAACAACGCAACTCGGACTGCAGGTCAACCTTTTTGGATAAGATAGTATATATAACTAAACCTACTAGTCAGTAGAGTAGAAGATGAACAAACGTTATTTCTCTTTGATCGTGACTAACAACTGAACATAAGTAAACCAATATCGAAAAGTTGGCTTTCACCTCTCCTGACCAGCCAATGTCATACATCCTGGATTTCAACTTGCCCCCGATACACACTCAGTAATGCAGGTACTTCATCTATATATCTGACCACAAACCTCTGCAAGAAGCCTTTCTCTGTAGGGTTCATCACATAATACAAACTCACATTTTCGATTTCCTTTATCAATCCTTTCAACAACAAAACCTTAACAACCGAACACCTCGGGATAATTCTCTTCTCCAAACTGAAACTCACAATAGTCGGACATTTGACAATTGATCTTTGCGGCCATCCCATCTTGTTCACTAAAAAATCCATAACCTGCATTATTTTCTTCTCTGACTTAGTCATACAAGGCGGGAACCGCTTGAAAGTAGAGAGAACATCATCCTCTGACCAACCCCACCTCTTATAAGCTTCACAATTACGACTCCATATGGACTTACTATTACCACTAGATAATGCTTTTATTGCTGCAACAGATCTTGATTTTTCCATATCAAATCCCATTTGCTTAACCTCATCCACAACTTTAGCAAAATTCTCAGGCTTTTGTGTTAAAGATCTAGGAAAATAAGCCAGCAACAAAGAAATACATGATTGGGGCATACCGAATTCTCTCAAAATCTCAATATTTGGCGCCACATTCTTCGAATGGCCTTCCGAGAAAATCCGCAGGCCGCCGTTCTTCAATAAAACAACGAAGTTCTTCTCAGAGAGCAGGTTCCTAAGGAACTGGCAAGTTGGTAGAATCCGTTTCTCCAAGCTTGTGGCCAAAATATGCGTTTCATATGCCAGAGTTTTTGCAAGGTCCTCCCTTGAAACTCCAAGAGAAATGAAAAATTCAAGCTTTGGCAAAAGGGTTTTCTCCGGATTCCAATTGAGAAGTCCTGGGCACGACCTGACAATCTTGGAGATTTGGGTTGCAGAGACTCCATGGCTTCTGAGAAAGGACAGAACGGAGTCTGCTCTTTCCGGGGATCGCAACTTGACCCGCTTAGAAGCTGAAATTGCACCTTGTGGAGACAACCCACATGAATTAATGAGGTAATTGACTGTGAAATCGTGGTGGTTTTCTGAGATTTCCGAGGTGAAACGTCTGCAAAGTATCTGGTTTTGAAGAGTAAAATGTGAGGGCTTTACATCTCCAACAACAAATCTTGTAGTTTTGGAAAATAGTGAATACCCCAATCTGCCGGCCTTCAGGTTGAAGAGGGCTGCCATGTTAGACGGCGCCGGCACTGATCAATTTCAGGTGGAAAATCCAAAACTTCTGGGGCTCTGTAGAAATTTATTGGCAACTTTTGGGCTTGGGTTGGGAGAGCTTTTGTTTGCTAAAGGAAATTTTATTTCAACTCAACTTTCTTATCTCCGTACCCAACTAAATAAATTTGTCTACCAAACTTCCAAATTTGTCCTTGTATAAATAAAAATAGAAAATTACTTTTATACCCCTAAAATACAAAGAACAATAATATCCCTACACCCTTTTTATTTAATCCAGGTAACTCTTCTCTGACATTGTCAACAACCACGATCCCTCTTTACTATTCTTCATATGTCTCTTATTCTCTATTGAATTTCTGGGTTACATCTTTGCTTTTCTTAATTTTGATAAGTTATACACATTGGAATTTAGTGAAAGAAAAAAAAAACAGTCAAACCTACACAGCCACAAGGCTTCTGTGCATTTTCACTCCAACACCCATTTGAACAGTAAACCAAATTGAAAACGATAGAAACTTTTAACAAGAAAAAAAGAAAAAAAAAAAAGAAGGTACTTTCTTCATCATATAATAACAATAGAAAAAAAAAAAAAAAGAGTATAAGGGGATGGTTGTTGTCGACGGTTTTGGAGAGGGATGCCGGCGTTAAGTTAGTTTCACTAGATTAAAGATAAAGGAAACTTGATATAGGTTCAATTTTTTGAGCCAATAGTAGGAATAATCCAATTTATTAAAATAAGTCAAATTTCTTAAATCTTATTATTTTATTATCAATAATTATCTGTTCAATGATAAGATTTATTATAAAAATCAAATTTCTTCCTAATTATCTCTTTGATTATTATTTTTTTTTGTTCTTTCTTGTTCTTTATCCCGTTTAAACCCCATTTATATATTTTATTTTTTATTTATATAATCAACCTATATCATAGGTTAATTATATTTATCTACCTATATGACAGATTCTTTTTTATAATCAAGTAAGATTCATGTGTTTTGCTTGTAGATATATTATGTTTTTTCTACCTTTTAGTTAGATTTCATATCTTACTTATATGTATGATATACATTCAAATATTTGTTACTTGAGTTAGGGTATAATGATTTGCAGATAGATTTAGGTCAATATATATATATATTTTATTTTTTTCTGTTATAAGATATTATATTTTTTTTTGTTATAAGATATTAATTATATTTTTTGGGGGTGAAAATGCATAATATTAGAAGATTTTATGATTTTTAATATTTTTAGAAAATATAAAATGAGCATTAAAAAAATAAATACATATAATTAGATAATTGAACTTACTCCTAAAAACCATCTATGTTTTTGGACCTGGATCTAAAAGCCCCTTAAATAAAATGTGTGTAGAAAGAGAAATTTTTGTTGTTTGCATTTGGGTTTATAAAATTGTTTCTTCTTTTTTATTTATTTAGGGGTGAATTTGGAAGTTTGGTAGATAATTTTTTTTAGTTGGGTGTAAAGATAAGATAATTGGGTTCAAATAAAATTTCCTTTTGCTAAATTCTAAATTTTGGGTTTTAGCAACACGTATTGTAGTCTAAGACCAAATCTAATCTTTGAATTCAAGTGAGGAATGTTGTCTTTACATCACAGCAATGATTTGAATTTCGTTGACTCTTTAATTTAACATATAATCTAACAAATTTATAGTTTGACAAAAAAAGATAAAATCTTTGAATTCAAACTCACATATTTGTCTACTAAAAAATAAAATTAGCTCTATAAATAGTGAATGTCACCCAACTCCAGCACCTAAACTGTATTAATTGTTGTGGACTGATTTGAACCTTAATTGCTTTTATAAGGATACTTTTTGTACTTAATCAACTATTTGCAACATCATCACATGATGACATGATCCGTCATTTACATACACACTCTGTCAATACTCAAGAATAAGCGTTTTAATCTTAATTTTATTAAAAGTGTGATTGTGTAAATCTTAAAACACGGTATGTAATATTTTATAGATGGTTTCGTTGTACAGCAGCACTGAGTGGAATTCATGCTACAGTAGCCAAACGGCTCTAGTACAAAATCAGCTCAATCATTTTTTCCCAAAAGAACCCAAACAGTGGCCACAAGCACCGCACTGCTTTTTTGATAAGACAAGGGCTACTTCCTTACGTTGCCACCCCTTCTCCGGTAAACGGTAGATAATATTCTAACACTTCTTTTTATTTTTTATACATTTTCGTTAATTTTTTGTTCTTTGATATTTTTAT